GATGGACGAAGGCTTGGCCTATTTTAACCTAAAACCGAGGGGGGATGATTCTGGACTGCATCAACCTGAATGTTATATTAAAGCCAAAGTGCTGCATTAGGACGAGAATAAGCAGATCGACTTTCGAATTTCTTTATCATGCACTTTCATATGAAATAAAAGTCTTCGCAACAAGTTTGTCCTCTATTAGAACTATTTAGTGAAGTTATTTGATGTAAAATGCATGAGCATGCCATGTAAAAACGACTCATGAATATATTGTGCTTGACATGGTTTTTGAATCTCATGTTAGTATCTGGATAATCGTTTTCACAGAGACTACAATTCTAATGAGTAATATTCCTAATCTTCATTAAATCTTGTTTTTTATGACCATCCAGCCAACCCCAGGTAACTATGTTGTCTGCTCCATGGCTGAATTTGAGTCTCTTATTCCAATCATACCAACTCGGTTGAAATCAAATTCTCCGGTTCTCGAAAAGGCTCGCAAATCTGCCTGCTTCGCTATCGATGCGGATTCTCTTCTGTTTGACATAAATGCACGAAAAACTAATAATCAATGCCAATTAACCAAGAATGAGTCGATTTGCCTTCTCAAAAAACACCTGCTTGCAGACTGGAGTGACATTGTGAGTGCATCTAAGCCTTCTGGATTTTTGCATTGTGGAGTTTCACAGAACGCATAATTTACATTAGGAAAACATGTTTTGCTTAATCTTTTGAGATAACATTATGGTGGAGACCTTCATTTTGTATGAAAATACCTGATGAAGAAGTGGGCTGACCTTGTCGCAACTTGGTCTTATTGTCAGGGCGACTTAGTAGAACGCACCTAGTCCGAAGTCGTATGCCATAGTAATTGTATAATTACCAAAATCAGACAGCGGATTTGATACGTTCTCAAACGTTTCGCCTCCATCATCAGTGACTGCCATTCTCACCACCAGGCTACAAACCTGTCAAAGAGATAAGTAAAGTTAATTCATTTGACGAATTCGTATAAAATAGCAAAACTAGGATGCCGCCAAAACGTTTGAGAAGGTACCAAGTCCACTGTCTTATGCTGGTAATTATGACAACTACTATGGCAGTCGAGTTTGGACTAGGTCTTTATGACAACAACCGCCATAATCAACCTTTGTCAATTCTAAAGTGAAATGAGATCAGCAATTTTAGAAAAAGACATTCATCGAATCCCATCTTTTCTTGTTAGTTGCTATGGTAACTGCTGACATTTGGGGGCCAGATATGAAGTGCTTGTAGCGTAACAACACGTCATTCATTCATTCACTTTTAAAGGATAGCAGTGGGTTTTAGCAGATGATAGTTTAGCACAATGTATAAATACCACTAATGTTTAACAAGCGCAGTTAGAAGCTCTGATAGGTATTACGATAATTCTGTAAGAAACTTAACTGGCATTCCTTTTAATCCTATCTTAACTAAACAGACTGTATATCTTGATTAATCTGAGTCATATAGAGTTGAAAATAGGCCAATAAGAAATAATAATTGAATAAGGAGTAAAATAATCATGCAGTAATTTTTGCTAATGAAATTGTCTTTCTCATGAATTGTATTTTAGTGCTAATCATTGTGGTTACAATCTGAAAGATTCTAGAAAGATAGTTTTTAACGGTCTTATGCCTAAATTACTAGTGATTAAAAAATAGAGGATAAGCTATTTTGCCTCTACATGATTGGTGCTTCATATGTAATTTAAATTTATTTGTCAAATTTACTTCTTGCGATAAAATTCAGTTTAATTTAATCTTGTTCTTGTTCCTCTCACTCGCATCCAAACAAAATTTCGGTTAGGGTTTTATTGAAAAGACTGAAGCTGGCGAAAAGAGTAAGCATATTATTATTTTAATGAATATGCTTCATTATAACGCAATTTATTCCAGACTTTATATCTGCATACTATGATCTTCCTTGTTTGTTTTTCCTAAATGTGACGGCTTCAGGATCCGGATATAACTTAAGTTGTTGTCATCCTAGGCTGTACGAGGTGAAGAGCTCATATTTTAAATTTCACACGATGATACGAGTAAGCATCATAATGCCATTGAACGTCATCTAGCCTTGCCTTCCAATACATATTTTTATTCAGAATGGACTTAATCTTCGACGATATCCAGGTTTTGGAACCTCAAATTAGAATCGAACCAGAGTAGTGTTGCTTAGCATTTCGGCATTTTACCACGAGTACGAATGCTTTCGGGAATGACTTGCCTTTCTAGGCAAACCAGTTTTCTCCTACAACAAATAGCCAAACTTTTATTACAGTTATATATTACAATCGACTACGTTATTTATATTTAAATGAATAAATTACCCAAATTATGTGTGATGTATTGCCAGAGCTAATTAAATTTGTTGTGATTTAACTTTTATGAAGATTCAACGTTAGCTGTCACCCCTTCGCCTTTTCCTTTCCTTCTGCTTATAAAATCTCACACATCTTGCCCATTCCTCTGCCCTAGATGCACCTATCACGTTTTATAATTTCCAGATTACTTTTATGTGATTCTAAAAACTTTACATTATGCCTATTTAAACGGATGTATTTATTTTGTTTTCATCATGAGTATTTTTAGAAACTACCATTAATTTCTGAATAAGTACTAGTTCGCTAAGTATTATGTAGGGAATTTCTCTATAATTATATGAGCGGCTTTACACTTCCTTGCATCTAAGAAGTTATCCTACCCAGAGTTGCTTCAACAGTCATACCACTACTAAATTTGTTGTGCATGTATTTGCTATTACTATCGACGAGTGCTTATTTTTTAGTGTTTCGAAATAAATAACATTGGCGATTTTATTTGCAAATACATGTATGTATTTTCTACTTCCATACTTTTATTATCATTTGTAAAATGCTTGGCTTGTCCTGAAAATCATATTTTCCCTGTGATCCACTGACATCTGCAACTATATAACTTATTGGAGGGTATGTGAGACCCTTGCGAGGAGAAAAAACTACAGCTTATCCTGGAAAATAAAACCTTTCGGGAGACATGGTTAAGTGAACCTTAACTCCACTGTAAACTCCCACATCATTTTGGGAAAATATTTCTGCTCCTTAGATCGTCTTAAGCGATCAAGGTTGACTTAATTTTGGTTAATATATATTTAGATGATAACGTGCAGATATTTTTGGGGATTTGGGTCTTCTCTTTCTATTTGTTCTATTATAAACCTAGTCAAGATATTTGTAGAAAAGCATGAATTAAAAAAATTAATTTAAATAAATACGTACTTTCACATTTTTTATTTTATTTGGTAAGGTGGTTGAAAGAGATTTGTAGATTCGTCTCTGCGAAAAATGTGGTATTTACTTGTAATTTCTTCTCGAGGCACTATCCTTCCATTCCGATAAATCTGAATTTCTGCAGGGCTTTCGTCCTTCAATTGACTGATTTCGTAATAGTGTGAAAAATTGCGTCATTTACACAGCAGTAATATGAGACAACGGACAGACTGTAATAACTGGGAATTACTATTGGCTGTTAGATAGGCATAGAGAGAGGTAGGGAGATTAGAAAGTGCCACCAATAAATATGAGAATGCTTAGTTAGTCTTGAATCTTCTTATGGCTATCATAATAGGCCCTATTAATGAATACAGAATACACGTCACTTATGTGCAAGCGAATTCGACTACTCAACTTAAAATTGCAGTGGCAAAAATGCATGTGCAACTATTCGATGTCAGCTGCTTTCTTTTCGCGCGTCATCCACCTGCAGATATTTTACATGGCACCTTCTGCCACATCACTTATCAAAATTATGGGAGATTCACGAAATAACCAACCGAATCTTGAGATGCCCCAATAAATAACCAGTCAGGCTATGCAAGTATATAAGCTTGCAGTCTGCTTCTTAGCTGGCTTTTATTCTTGATGAATTTTCGTCAAGTATGGTTTTCCCCTTGACGATATCTTTCACTTCACAGACGAAGGATCATCATAGATGCATAGGT